ACACGTGTACAGAAGACCTGAAAAAACCTCTTTTTTTTTATTTTCGCCGTCACGATACTTGAACACACATGTAACTGTATTTTATTAATTTTCTGCTATATGTTTATTTCGGGTATATGACTCATTTATGTTGTAATTGTTAATATTCGTTTTCTATTTCATAACATTTCTCTTATTTATTATTATTACGCCAATAGACGCCCTGATTTTTTTTACTTTTTCGGGGATACGGGAGTAATCATAAGCTCCACCTAGACAAGTAAAAAGAAAACAAGGTTGTGCACTGCCGTTATAGTTCTTTCTCGAAGCTATTCAAGACTTTTTCGACCTTTTACATAATTTGGTTGTGAATAAAATTGAATGACTTAATTTTCAGTGACCGTTAATACATAATATGCATGGCGACCGCTTAAACCACTACGCCATCCGTGCAGGATCGCCTGAGTCGCCTGCGGTATCTGGCCCGTTCCCGGGCCTGGCGGGCCGGGAGAGTCCTAAACCTCTCCCGGTCCCGCTCCGCCGTCTCCTTCGCGAGCATAACTTGCTCGCAGAAGGAGACGGCAGAGTTCCACGCACTCTCGCTCCGCACGATAGCCGCAATCAGGCTATCGAGCGAGAGAACTCCCACTCCGATGGCCGCCACGAGGTATCGCCTCTGCTCAACCCACGCCGGGCACTCTGCCAGCGTGTGTAGAGCCGTGTCCACGGTCTGGCCATCGCAGTGGTGGCACTCAGGCGTTGGCTTCTTGCGGATCAGACACAGGTGATCCCCGAAACATCCTTTCCCAGTGATCACCTGCGTCAGTCGGTATGAAAGGGTCCCGTGACGCCTCGAGACTTGAAATTATAAACATAGTTTTAGCCTACATAGTGAGGATAAAGTCCTACATACCGCATTTACAAAAATATCTAAATAAATGCACTCAGAGAACGTTATTTAGGTATTTATATAAATAAGTGTACGATGTTGAAATAGTTTATATTATAGTACACTAGCTTTTGCCCGCGGCTCCACCCGCGTGTATGTCGGTTAGTAGTTTATCACGGAAAAAAGTAGCATATGTCCCTTCTCAAGAGTCTTACCATTTCCATACCAAATTTCATCTAAATCTGTTCAGCGGTTATTAATTTCCAATACAAACTTCCACAACACTTTCCGACCCCTTAAATAATTATTTCTGGGAAAAAGCTATCCTATGTCCTTTTTGTCCTGTCTCGGCCTTAAAATATCTCTGTACAAAATTTCATCTAAATCGGGTCAGCGGTTTAAGCATGAAGATGTACACAGGCACACTTGCGCATTTATGCCTCGGTTTTGCAGTTGTATCATATATGACTGCTGTTCTGAGGTCACGGGTTCGATTACTGGGTGTTTTGTGATCTGCAAATATTTGTTTAGGAGTTTGGGTGTTTTCTATGAATAGTATGTAAGTATTTACAAAAAAAAAAATAAGCATTCTATCCGTCAATCTAGCTTTCATAGAACAAGCTCTGCTTAGTTTTAAACTAGATGGCGTTGTGTGTCAGATGTCCGAAATAATAATTATTATATTATACAGTCCCTCAACAGACACACGCCAAAAACATTAAGTTTCTTGTATGTGGACTGTTTTCATAAATCATACTCAGGTAAATTTAATACAAACGGATATAGATATAATCAAATTTATTAATGTTAAATTTCGTAATATTTGAACACAACAAACACATTTGGTTATAATATTATGTATTTGCCTTTGCCCGCGTCAAAACACAACATGTGTATGTACGTATGTTCCATTACAAAGGGATCACCATTGCACAAGCTCACAGCGCCCATAAAACCGTATTTTCCGTATTATGTGCGCTCCTAATATGTTTTCACTTGTTTACCGTGTTGTGGTACAATGTCTTTTACTTAGACTTTTGCGCTGATCATGAAACATTACCTACATCTTTTCATTACTAAATCAAATTTGATAAAGAATTACGACTTTTGTCCTTTACTAAACTTCCATTTTATTATATTTGTTTCGGTTTGTTTGGTTCTTAGATTTAAAGAATAAGTGAAATGCTTGGATGAATTGAAATCGATTACAATTCAATTAGCTAAAGCAAAGCAAGCAAAGCTAACATTAAAAACATCCCCTAAGTCAGATCGTTATCCAAATCCAGTAAGCAATTGAATCGGGGTTTTATCAATTAAAGCAAAGCAAAAATTTTATATAAAAAACCTATCCAAAAATAGTTCACCCGTTTATGACTTAATACCAAGTCGGTCTACTATTCAGAAAGGAGTGAAACTCATAATTTTTTTTTGACGAATGTTTAAAGGCGGTGTCTTTTATAATATTTTAAAGCATTAAAACAATTTCTATGCGGCATTATCTCGTCATTTAAAAAGAATAACCAAAAAATGTAGTGTCTAACGCTGAATTCAAATTAACAACGTGATACCAAACTTAGCCAATGTTGCTGAACTTCAAGACACGTTAAATAAAGATGAATAACATCAGCAAACATTACTTGTGCTGAAGTATGCCAAAACTTCACACTTGGTAAGTCGACAGCCATGAGGAGCATGCCAAAGTCGAGCTCATCCCTCGAAGTAAACCTCTTTCCTATTTATATGCAGATTCCATGACCGACCATAAGTTATCCGAACAACGGATCATACCCTTAATGATACCCGGATAAATGGAAATGTTACTACGGTTGAACCGTTGGGGTGAATTTTTACGTTTCTGATATTTTGTCATAATAAATGCGTCAAGAGTCAACGGCGTGGAATTAATTAATTTGGGGCGACATCTTGTTTTGTTATTAAAATGGAGGGATTAGTGAGATTAATATCGTTAGTGGTTATCTATAGTTGCTTATATGACATGGTTTTTCTCATCTACCGATAGTGTTTGATATATGTAGTTTTTTTAATTATTTTCATCACAGTATTCGTGATTCTTACTTCAAATAAAAGCTTAATTCACATTAATAATTTTACTGGGCGTTTTTTAAACTTTACAATGATACTAGTCTGTTGCCACTGCTATAATTTAATCTCTGAAAACTTGTATTTAAAATTGTATTATGAGTTCGAGTTGAGTACTTAATGATAAATCAGGACGATCTTTTCTTAGTCTCAGTACAATATATAAAGATAGCCCTCGCTATTTATTTTATATACTTTTGTTTTTTTTTATGGCTCAAAGTTAACAGGATCCGTTTTACATTTTAGTTGAATTAGGTGTTCAGGTGTCTTTACTTTTTTCTATACATTTTTTTTACTGTAAATATTTTTAGCTTATTTTTACGAGGTGAGTTATATTCTATACATACATGTACATTGACGACCGAATGGCGTAGTGGTTTGTGTAACGGACTGCTACTCCAAAGGTCGCGGGTTCGATTCCCGCTCAAGTCAAACATTTGTGTGCATGAACATTTAATGTTTGATTTGGTCTGGGTGTTTCTATGTATAATATGTATGTATTTACAAAAAAAAAAAAGTATATATGTATTTATATCAGTTATCTAGTACCCATAGTACAAGCTCTGCTTAGTTTGGGACTAGATGGCGTTGTGTGAATGTGGTACAATATTATATTATTATTATTATATTATTATTATTATTATTATGTTTTATTTAGTCTTCATTTCTGCTTTCAACAAATGTATGGAGAATTTTAGATTATACAACGTTAAAATAGACTGTATACGAGTATAAAGTAATAATCTTACGCGCGATATTACGTTTTTACTTTCAACAATAAAGAACAAGTACGGGAGCCATCGGCGACGTGCGCAAAAAATATTAGGCAGTATTTTATTTGTCGACCATTTTATTACTGTGGTACTAAGTTGTATATTTCATAAAATTTTACAGCTTTAGCGGTTTAGTGCCACGTTTGTTTCGAAAATGTATACAAGGTTTAAATTGTTACAAATAGTCGTAAAGGCTCACTACTGTTTGTAACAATCATTTTTTTTTAAATAATATCCCACTTTATACCATTAACTAAAATTGCTGGTTCCGCAAATAAAATTAAATGATAAGTTTCCACAAATAAAACAAGTTCAGTTTCGCCTTTCGATAAGACAGGATGAAAAGACTTAATTTAATCAAGCTTGAACATCATTCTCTAATACATTATTAGTAATTATACAATGTTGTTGTAAATTGTGGTTTAAAATTGCTTAATGCGTAGGCAGAGTTCTAATTTAATAAGACGATATTAAGAGGGGAAAGAGGGTTTGACGGAAAATAATGAAAATATTGCCTCGGGTAACCAGCTTGCTTCGATTATAAGAAATATTTGTATTCCTCAATGATTTCATGTATTTTATGAGTAAAGGGGAATGCCCACTACCCATAGACACTTTGGCCCTAGGTGCACACATATAAAAGCATATGGAAAAGATAATATACAATTTAAAGAATGAAATGTTTAAGGAATTGGTATTAAAAAAAGTCGGGATTTTTAAGATATAAAATAATTTTAATTTTCAGAAATAACTACAGTTTTTTTTTCTTATTCATCATTTTATTGTTATTCTCACATACAATATCAAGTTATATGTAGTTCTTAGGTATTTTATGATCATACATCATTTGTGTCATACACAATTAGTACATCATCCAGGAATTGAGCTGGAGGAAAAATATTTGTTTGATGTCGTGCCCAACCCAAATACCATATTACTGTCATTATATGGGCACAACATCCTACCGTTCGACGGCCAACAATACAGTTACAACAATACTTTTTGATTGCACTCCTGCTAGAATCATTCATCATTCTCCTGTTCTTAAAGACGTACTCGCAATATCGATGTAACAGTGAGTCAATGGGAATCATTACAACCAGGAAAAAAACATTGATTTTCTGTAATTGGTGCTCTTACATAATTAGGCAGCAGTATACTGTCTGATGTATCTAAGCTTTGTTGTTCCGGATGCAATACATCGCTAGCTACTTCAGATTGCAACGAGGACAGACTAGATGGTTCGGAGGTTTCACGGTCTACAGTTGAATGTGATGCTGCTCTATCAGTCCTTCGCCAGCAATTATGACACACACAAGATGATGATGGCAACTGAAACAATAATTAAACCATAAATGAAGTAAACAAAATCAAATTAAACTAGATAAATGGTTAGAACAATACAGCCCACTGGGCTAAACAAATATGTTAACATGAAAAAACTTTTACATCATATACTTTTATTCCAGTGCAATGATGTGAACACACCAGCTAGTTTGCGGCTAATCCATAACCAATACTTTATATTAAATGTGAAAGTGAGATTGTTTGTTTGTTACGCTATCACACAATTCTTTCACCAATGGAAGTTATATTATCAGCGAATAATATTTTATACACATAAATTAAAAACTGTTATACACTTACCTCACGTGGTGCAATCTGTTGCACAATCACATTCCTTATGAGTTCCTCACGTGGAGAATCAGAACAGAGTGAGTGTGATCTTATTCTCAAAAGTGACCTGCCACAGCTGATGCACACAAGTCCATGGCCAACAATCGGTGCATTCTGCTGTTCACTAGTTGGATTTCGTATTTCATTCCAGGCTGCAATCCAACCTAATAATAAAGATGCCATTATTATTAGATATTGATATTATTTTAAGTCCTCTCAGCTAAAAAGCATTTACTATTTACATTAACTATTTACCTGCTGTGGTCGAACCCATTGTTGTATTAGATTTCGAACTTCTTCTATTTCGTTTATACCACAATTGACACAGCGTGAATGTCCTCTTGAAAGAGTTACTGTGGGCTGTGAAGAACTCTGGCCAGTGTGAGAGCTGGGGTCATCATTTTCAATGGATATTGAGTCCAAGTTCGTGCGGGAGTTATCGTGAGAAGCGGGAGCGGGATCCATGTTCAGGCCGTGGTCAGTAGGGTAAGAAAAATTGTCGGAGTCCATTTAGAAAGCTTATTAGTTGTATTGTAAGAAAACAAACAAATAATAGAAATGCAAATGAAGTTGTGATTTCACGTAATGGTGACAGATTGTGTCCTTGCTGTTTCAATGCATTCGATGTTGCCACTTAACAGCCATAAAATCGGAAATGGTTATCGATTATTTGTAAAATATAATTTCATATGAAATAATAATCTACGAGGTGCCTTTAAATTCTGTACGCTTTTTAGTGTTTTTTTTAATTATATCTATCTATCTATATTAATGTATTTTATTATATCTTAAAAGTATTTTTAAGAACAGATAAGAATGACAATTAAATTGTACAGTAGCGTCTTTGCTATGATTTAAAAAGTTTATGGTAATTCAACTAGCAATTCGCTTATATTATTATGGTAACATCATAATCATTAACGAAATAAGGAATATTAATATATTATTAATTTATTTTACGGGCTCTTGAGAAGACTCAAGGCATCTTTCCTGACTTGATTATGGTAATCAGTTAGTGTCTGTTGTATTCCGCCGTGTTTATCTGCTGAATAATTAATTTAAGGGTTTTGCGTATGAAGTTTTTGTGTATTAGTTTAAATTAATTTAACTTTTGTTACATCCTTATGGGCGATTATGCCTAAAATAAACAATAAATAAATAAATAATATTAGCACTAACACAATGAAATCATAATAATTACCGAAAATCGAATAATATAGCTATAAAATAATGGCTGTGTTTGGCAGAAAATAGCGCTAGGAAGCGCTTACTAGCGCTGACACAGTTTTCGGCCAGGACACGTTTTCTAACTTCAGTAGCGCTGACACAATCCGCCATTTTGCTTATTTATTTTGTTTGTTTTAAAAGTAGAATTAAACTGTAAAAAAAAAATATATGTGTCATTTGACAGCGCTTTCCGCTTAGCGATCGCCATTTTGCTTACAAGCGCTTCCTAGCGCTATTTTCTGCCAAACACAGCCGACATCATAAATAATAATAATCGCTTCATAAATAATCGATTTTTTGAACGAAATTAGTAATTGGGAACACTTAATATTTTGCCAGAAACTAATGAAATACGGATTAACGTAATTTCACTTTTATCTTTTCGGTACTTTTATTTTCTGTTTAAATGTTGCAGACCTGTCAGGATAAATGAATACCCCAATTAATAAACAGAAAATAAGACGTTTTTTTTAAAAAAAAGCAAATTGTTGTGCATTTCATGGCCGAAAATGGGCATTCCCCTTTAATATTATATTATGAATTATAAAATTAATATTATTTGAGGTAAGTAATACGATTATATACTAGAAATTACTTGGTAGTTGACTTGAGAGTTGAACTTTGAGTGTTTGTGTATGTGACGCTGACTGGATCAAATAACTGCTATTTTTATACAACTTTGCACTAGAAATAAATCCTATGTCGCGGGAGACTACAAACATGCATGAGACGGACACAAAGAAAACCCAGACTCAGAAAAACAATTTGTGGATCACACTAAGTAAGATAGTAAGACCATACCGGGATCGAACCCATAACACTAAGCGCAGTAGGAAGCATCTGAAAACAAAGAATGCTGTTGTAATTTTGGTTCCATGCTATGAATATGGTATACGAGCACAATGTAACTTTTTAAAACTATTTACTTAACTGTTTTATCGCCTCCATCGTGAGCCGCTTGAACGCATGTCAAGATCAAATATTTTAATGAAAATTTTCTTTTAAATAACATAGTGCAATGTCCAGTTAGCTGACTAATCTTGTGCATGGAGAACTACATAGCTTCCTATGTGAGGTAGTACATTAAGCAATATGCAAATACTGGACCGGATCATCAATCGCGGGTGTCAGGAGCAAGATAAATAGTGCCCCTGACACTTGCACATTGCAACGGAGTCGTGTCGAACCGAGGACGTTGCTGTTTCAAAAGAACTATTTGAAAAAGCGATGCTATTTATCAATATTAAATAATAATTTCATAAATGTTTAAATTTCCTCTTTTAAATGTAATGGGGTAAAAACATATAAAATAAAATAATAAGACAACATGACGATTGACGGGTTTTCATTTTAAAATTTCCAGTTTCTCCAAAATAAAAAATATGAAAAATAATAATCCCTCCCAAACCTCCCAAACCTTTATTTTTAGATAATGATAACAACCCATATGGACGTCTTAAAGATTCATTAAGGCATATAATAACTATTAGGAGCACACAATAACTTATTCTGTACTTTTTCATGTAATTTTTTAATACAAAATGTATAACTACAACAACAAAAAAAAAAAAAAAAAAAAAAAAGCTCTTATAAATAATTTGAAATAAAAATAGAATAGACATTTTTTATATAAATTTAATGAATACAATAAAACCTCAATAATAAATACCTGCTAGTCAGTGTTATATCCACAGAAAAAACTAAAGTATTCAATTTTCAAAAATAAAAACTACACACAGCATCACTATGAGCACTATACAAGAACTACAGGATTGTTTTGAGAAGAGGATGGCAAACTTCGAAGCAGAACTCCTGAAGAAGGCCTCAAATGCTGCTAGCCTGGCTGGTCTTGCAGAGGAGTTTACTATATTCAAGACTCTCATCTTAGAAACCTTGAAGTCCTTCCAAAGCCAGATGAAGGTGCTTGTGAATGAGGTGGACAACATGGAAACCCGCAGCCGTCGCAAGATACTCCTGGTACATGGTGTCGCTGAGGAGAAGGATGAGAATACATCCCGGGTCGTCGCGGAGGTAGCAGCAAGTAAGTAAGGTCTTGACTCATTTACAGCTGATGGCATAAGCCGATGTCACAGGATGGGCCGACAGACTACGGTTGAAAAACCAAGACCCATTTTAGTTAAATTTAGGGCAGTGGCAGTGCGGGACCGAGTCTGGGCGTCTAAGACCAAACTTAGGGGCACTGGTGTGACACTCTCCGAGTTCCTGACCCGATCACGACACTCTGCTTTCATGGCAGCACGTGAGGAATTCGGGATCACGAAGTGTTGGACCAAGGAAGGTACTGTTTACGTTATGGGTCCCGACGGTTCACGCCATCGTATTACTTGTGTGGCAGACCTCGACCAGATAAGGCCAGTGGCTGCAGAAAAGCCAACCGTGACCAAAACTCAAGCTGCGAGACCGAAGAGAGCTGCTGCCGGTTCAAAAAAGTAAATGGTTGCTATGTGGTTTTCTCTTAGATACATTGAATGTAATGTTACACTGTCTGGGTGAATTTCACGCGAGAATCAGTCCAAATTTATTTTCCTTACAAACATATTATGGTTTCGAATATGGTAATCATCAAATAATTCTGTTCAACATCATTAAACCAGCCGAACACATTTATTTTGTTGATCTACCTTTATTTAAAAAATATCAACTTCAACTTTTGGTTAAATCTCAAAACAAAAATAGCTGTCAAGTGTCAAAGAAAGTCAAATTGCGTTCCAGGCCGCATATTTTTCTGCAACACTATTGTTTCTCATCGATTAGTTGTAAGTTTGAAACAAAGCCTTTTGAACGGGAAGTTCGCCCAGAAAATTGTGACATAATTTTGCTTCTTTTTGTTTTTGTTTTTTTTTTTCTTTTATGATTACTTTTATTTAGTTAATATCTTCCAGTAATTTCTAAATGTAAAACACACGACTGGCGGGTGGACCATAAAATTTTTATTTTTTATTTTTTATTACTACTATTCATATATTATTATTATTTATTGAACATTATTGCTATATTAGTTTACTTATACATTCTTGAGTCAACTTTATGTCTGACTTAGACAATAAGATGATGACAGTTTTTACTCGATAAACAGTCTTGATTCTAGTTACGTTAGCATACCCTCACTCCATGAGAATCTTCAGTACCAATTTTCTAATGCTCCGCGGAATTTTAATGTAGTTCATATCAATGCCCAGAGTATTCCAGCTCATTTCCCTGATATGCTGGCGACCTTTGATTGCAAGAACATTCACGCCATTTTAGTTTCAGAGACATGGTTAAAACCGTGCTTACCTTCTACACCATATACTCTTCCTGGTTTCAATCTCATAAGGAATGACCGTGCGATCGGTGGTGGGGGGGGTGTTGGCATATATCTGCGACAGCACATTCCCTTTACCATTGTAAACATGTCGTCACAGCCCCCATCACCGGACGCTGGCGAGCACCTCTTTATAGAACTAGTAATTAATCATGAGAAGATTTTACTTGGTGTTTACTATTCTCCCTCGTTACGTACTAATTACTTTTCCTCTTTTGAAAAATTACTAGAAAACTTATCTCCCTCTTATAGCCACACATTAATAATGGGCGATTTCAATACCTGCTTGATGAAAAATGACCATCGCTCTTCTTCACTACGCAGAATTGTGGACTGTAATAACTTATCACTCTTAACACTTGATGCTACACATCACTTCCCTAACTGCACTCCCTCTCTTCTTGATCTTATCCTAGTCTCTTCTACTGATCATGTCATCAGCCATGGTCAGTATTCCGCTGATGCTTTTTCCTATCATGACTTGATATTTCTCTCTTATGCTATCCGACCACCCAAGGCAAAGCCGAGAATTCTTGTGCAGCGTAATTTTGGCGCGATGAATCTTGAAAGACTTAAGGAAGATGCGCGAAACATCAACTGGAACAATTTGTTAAATTCGCAGTGTGTTAATGATAAAGTCCAAATATTCACAGATAACTTGATACAGCTCTATAACGTCCACGCACCCTTGCGATCAATAAAGCTTAAACATTTACCGGCTC